GGCAGGTATCAGCCAGAGTTGAGAAAGGAGTTATGAGTGGCCGACCTAAATATGTATAATTGAAAGATAAATATAAGTGCCAGATTACAGGGGGGATACGACACCAGAGTCGACCAGAAAGCTTTTCTTTACCTTAATTTCTTTTCAATTATAGAGACAAATAATCAAAAGTGTGCTATCGATATTTCAGAGGATTTAAATGTCTCAGAGTGTGAAAACCTTGTGATATTTATAGCTTTATGATGATAGGAAATCAATTATCGTCTAATTTATTTATCATTATTTTGATGAAGATCTTTGGCACAAAATTGATGTGTTCTCCTTTCTCTTCCGACTAATTTAGTAAACCGTCTTGAAGTTTTAAAAGCTTTTGAAATCCAAGATTTATTTTTAAGATTTGTATGCCTCCATTTTGTACTGCAGCTCATAATATATACTAGACATGTAAAGAGGGTCGATCAAAGGAAGTTACCCTCTCCTTTTTATCTCTCTATATTTTAAATAGCTATACCCTCTTCCTGTCAGCCACAGGTGAATGACCATTTGAAAAGAAGTAAAGCAAACATTATTCAGAAAAACAACATGTTCCCACGGGCATTTGCTTCTAAATCTGTCTGTATCAACAGCAATAAAAAATTTATAAACGTTTTATGGTGTCGGCACTGCGATGATATACTAAAGAGGTTTAATGTCTGTACGTTTGTTCAATGTTTAGCAGAGATGGACATGATATTGGTCTATGAGATAACATAGCAGGATGTGTGTAGTCACATTCTAATGCCATTGTTTGATCGATATTGTAGGCGTAAGATTATGCCAGCCCACGGAACGAGGTGTGAATGGTGAGTCTTTTGATTGGGAAGAACCACTGCCCTTCCAAGATGCGGGTCGATCTTTTGTTTATCATTTCGTAGGAATGCGAGAAGAAAGCGCTTTGTCCGCCACCATGTCTGTTGTGGACGGACAATGGGTCGTGTAGGAGTTTTGTTTTCCGCGAATACTCACTGGCCAGGGTGAATGAGTTGAATGGACTCATCACGTGTTCATTCGAATAGCAGGATTTTGTAAGGTCTATTCACGGAAGGATGCTTCGGTACCATTACTCAGAGTGATCAACAGCACCGGTCAAGCAGTGGTACATGATTACACACTCTCACAAATCGCATTCTCCGCAGCGTCGATCCGACATTGAACAGCGTTATCAGCTGGACTAAGAACTGGTATCTCCTCTGCTGGCCATTGATTGCTTCACCATACACTCTACTTTTAACTTGTAAACATGGAAGCACTTTCTGATCTTGCTAGTCGTGAAATCAAGATGGAATCACATTCTCCACAGGATTCCAAGAATTTGGACGTCAAGCCCGTGAAGCTGGAGCGGTTGGGGATGTCGTCGTCGCCGCCAAGGTTGACCATCGACTGCGGCGACACCGGTCGATCACCGGTACCATCACACATGGAACCGCCAGGTGGGGCTAGGGTACCATACCCGATGCACCTTTACCCTTACCCGTATGCCTACAGCAACCCCATGTATGGAGAGGGGGCCTTACCAGCACCTGATCGCCACCTTCCACCAACCCAACAGCACCCCATGTTCCAGCCCCAGGTCCTTGGCCCAATGACCAGTGAAAGGCCGCATTCGAATGGCGTCGGTAAGAAAAAGCGCTGGCGTTGGGATGTTTGCCCTCTAAAGAGTTCGTTTTGAACATATTGATATTTTTGTGAAAGCCATCTGCAAAGTTAAGTTCTATTTATTAATAAGATCTCATCATGAGTTAATTTCTGTGATACAAATCAAAGCTGGTGTATGATATAGTTATGTTTTAGGCGACAGCATACAATTGTTCTTTACTGACTACATTCATAAGCATGAGCGAGACGTTTGTCATACCGAACTAGTTATAGTTGATGTATTTTGCTACTGATTCGATGGTCTTAGTAAAGTTTAAACCCTTACTAATACACTGTGCACGTTCGTGTATTAATCAGACATGATTATTCACGTCAGGGACCGACCTTTACCGTCTCCGCCCGAAAGACGATGTTGCGTACTAGTAATCTCGATTAAAAGGACTTAAACAAGTATATATCTTCTTGAAGGCGTTTGCAGTCATACAAAAGGTGATATGATTGACCTCGGTCATAATACTTAGAACGATAATGACTTTAAAAAAAATTAAAATTAAATCTTTAGTATAGGATAACACTTCACATATAAACTCTCAAGAACTGATATTCAGTTTCGAATGTCGAGAGATGATCAGTGATTATTATCATATACTATACTCATATCTCTGGCAAATAGAGACAAGCAAATTTTATGAAGTTTTATGTAATTTGCTTTGAGCAAATCAGCTTTTTACTTTGACGCAATTTTGTGAACTTTGTTGTTTTATTACAAGCCATTTTGTTAAAAAAAAGAAATAATAACTATAAAGTTATGTGAGCATGATTATCTTTCAACAATGACGATTCATTAAACTAAAATATAACGAATCTTTTACGATCTTGTAAAAAGCCCAATTTACATCCAGGGACAGATCCAGGATTTGTTTTAAAAAATCGGCTAGCCCAAGACTTGCTCGGCGAGAAGGTGATGGTAGTGTGTGTGTTGGGGGGACAAATTTCTCGGTATATTTTTGTTTTCCTTCTCTTCTTGAAAGGGACAGGTCCCTTGATCTAAACTAAATAAAGGCAGTAAACTTTTAATGACCAATATGAGACTACATTTTTTTAAAGAAATTGAGTGCTGAGGAACAAGTCAGTCATGTAAATCGATGACTATATTAATGAGAGCGATTTTAACATCATTTTAACCTTCTGTTAACCTTAATGAAAATGCAGTTTATTATATTTTAGTTAAGTGTGATTTCTATATAATTATAACGGTAGGATATGTGGAATACTACCTCAACAATATCACTATAACTGCTAATTCTCTAAAACAGACATAAAGTGGTTCGAAACACGAGAGGACATTCAAAGACCAACCTCAAAGCGTTTCTCAATCTCAACTCTATCTGACTCGCACAATAAATCAATCTGAGTGTTGATATTTATGACGAATTTTCTGTGACAGATTTCCCGATTTTATCTCGCTCCTAACCAATTATCATTAAAAGCGCTGATACCATTCACGTGAATAATTTCTACACACTGGAGTACCGCCAAATCATAACAGTGCCATAAATACGGAAGCTTTTGCGGCGGAGTTCTTTGTATCTATTCACAACTTCAAAGACACCATAAATCATTCTGAATATTTCCTAAGCCTGTCTTGCTAGGTATTAGGCACATCCGATTTTGTTTCTAACATGGGATACTATTCATGCATTTAATATATTTCATTCATATTTGGGTAATCGTTATAATTCTGGCCACTTGCTTAGACTACGGGTCAGCCCAGCTCGGGTGTTATGGCTGCATGGGCCAGGCATCGTCCCAATTTGCACCGCTCAAAAAGAGGCCAATTATCCGGTGTTCTAAAGGACCATTCTACGAAGCACAAACTCTCAAGTTTGTCTTGGCCATGCAGCTCCATTGATGTGGGATATCTGATAGGTCTGTACCCTATCGGCACTCGGTCGGTCTCTCTTAGAAAACCCCGAACGCTGTTCTTCTCCCTCTATCACACCCACAATAGACCGGGGCTAAAGGTGGCCCCTTTTAGGCTGCCGCCGCCCACAAACTCCCAATTCATTTCATTATTGAATGTTTCATTTTATGATAGCCAACTATTAAATAGACGCTTGTGTTTTCTTTCTTTCTTTTTTTCCTTGACGGGGCGAATTTCTGTTTTGTGATATGATCACGCGTGGCTATTGTAAGTTTGGTATGATCCCCGAGGTTTATAGAGCCAAAGGGAGAGGCAAACTACCCGGGTGCTAGCCCGGTATTACCCTCGTCTCTGTGACATTGAACTTGCACCTCTACATCAACTACAAACACACCATGCTTTGTCAGACTTGGTCGGATCACAAGATCCACTTACCTCTCTTTCAAAAGCTCTCTTTTGTCTCGCCTTCTACCCCCAATTTCATTTCCAATTATCTAATTACCATTGAACGTTGAGCTGCATGCAGCCAAAACGAATGTGAACATCTGACCAGTTAGGGCGTCGGAAATAGTCATGTCATTTTATCTACCAGCTTTAATTGTAAGTGAATTCATGTTTAAGCGGCTGGTGGTGACTCGCACAATGAACGATATGAACATGTTTGCATTACAATGATGTGACGTCACTATTATAGTTAAGATCCAGTGAGCTAGAAAACGCATATTGATGTCATTTTTTCATAACAAAATGTCGTCTACGATAACGGCGATACAATAACCGATATGATGGTCTGATTGGATTTTCAGCAGTATTTTTGTGATATGAATTAAAAAAGCAGATACTATTTAGCTGTGATTGGAAATAATATATTTACATGTTTACTTCAAGCTCCCCTGTCCGCAGAGTGTCTATAAGGTCCAATTTTTGTCTGTCTTTCTTCTTTACCTGATTTATCTTAATTTGAAAATCAATGCTATTTAAAAGTTGAAAATCGCAGTGTTTAGAGATCATGGCCACATGTAATTAGTAGTAAATAAAAAAATAATCGATAGGACAATACAAGATTATTAGGTGAAAATTATAGGGATAGAGACAGAATCACAAATGATATTACTTTGCATGCTGCATTATACTTCCATTTATTGATAGCTGGTAAAAATAAACAAAATGTGCGTAAATAGTACAAAATACTCTTGTAGCAATTTTTTAAAATATATATGCTTGGTTTCTCTCTCTCTCTCTCTCTCCCTTTTCTCTCTCTAAATCTCGATCTCGTATTGCAATACCACTACTATACTTTGATGCACGTCTCCAACTGAGTCCCATTAGCATTATGATGGATTTAGAAGACTATTTAAGTCAGCCATTTAGATCTTCAACTTGACCAAGGTCCGCGAAACATCTTAATTAACATTCTTATCGTTTCTCCTCCTCTGTCTAGATCCACCTCGGAAACAGCGGCGAGAAAGAACGACCTTTACACGAGCCCAGCTCGACGTCCTCGAGACCTTGTTCAGCAGGACCAGGTACCCTGATATCTTCATGAGGGAGGAGGTTGCTATGAAGATTAATCTACCAGAGTCGAGAGTACAGGTGAGTTGATATCCCACACCTAGCTACGCCCACCCCATCATTCACCCACTTCCTCATTCATCTATGCCTTAATGTTGTTAATAAACCAAGTTTCCCCTTTATAGCAACAATGCGTTACCACCAAACTAGCTTTATAAGCATTAAACACCAGCTATCATACACCAGAATTTAACAGGTCGGATTCACTATAAGACAGAATATATACAACAAGCTAAAGCAACAGAAATAACAATTCAAAACAAAAAAACTTGAACGAAAATATCCTTTATCTGCACAATTATGAAAACATAGTAAAAAGCATGTGTAAAACACCTAAAAGCACGTCTGCGAGAAACTATGAATATAACTTGCATCAACACTATTATTCACACTGCAATATATATATATATCTCTCTTCGTCTAGGAGTATAGTAAATGACGTCATAAAGTTTTTTGTTCCAAGCATTTTCAACCTCGAACTTGCCTGGTTATGTTTCAATGCTGCATCTCATTCTAAGTAAAGAACAAACATCTATTTCAGAACCGTACGTCTGACTGTCTAAAGAAAAAAATATGAGCATTTCTTTCATGAAGGTCATTTTAATTGTGATACCCCTTTTGAGTACGAAGCATTCTCCGAATTCAATATACATTAATAACAAAAAATATTGGGGAAATGTTTGAAATAGAATGTTAATAAATTGAAACAGTTAAACTATGTCTATGGCAATGTTGTTTCCAAGGTCTTACAACTCAAATATATATATATATTTTTAATTTGTTCTTGCTGACTACCAGTACCATTTGACACGATGTATATACACGATAAACATATTCTAATTACTGAACTTCAAAATATAGAATTAAAAGCTACAACATAAAAGAAAAAAAGATACGGCAAACATTTATTTTTACCACAAACACGGCTAATGAGAGTTACAACAGACTAATACAAAAAAGGTCGCATAATCTTTATTTTTGCAAGATGTGAAACAACAGAGACATCCTTAGATGAACTTTTAAAAAGTTATTATTAGATTCAATTAATTTCTGTTAAGTGTAAACATACTAAAATGGAAGAGAGTTCATAAAATGAGCACTACTTATGATACATAACGGGTAGCACACGACATTTCCATCGTTAAGTCTTCTCTCCTCTTGATATAGCTAACCTGAGGGTCAATTAGGGACCTTGATTGAATGATTCGTATTCTTATTTCAAGATAGAATAGTTACCATCAATTATAAGTGACAGTTTAAAATGGAATCATTGGTGAACTCAAGGGTCCTGTATATCATTATCAAAGCAACCAGGTCTGGAATAATTATTTTGGATACCTCTTTTTGTCTTTGTTCTTTGATGAACTGTCTTTCTCCGCCGCGCCTTCTGTGAATATTACGAAAACTATTAGTCGTCGCAGTATTGACATTCAACAAAAAATTTGACATTTGTGGTCGAGTGTGACTTGTTTCGTGAACCAGCCTCTTTTCTTTCACCCTACTGGCGGAACATATCAAAGCAAGTTGTAAGATTGGTTTTCATACAAAAAACACGCGCAGTCTCGGCATTTGTTTTGATATGCAGTATTAGAAGTAGTGAATAATCGTTAATACCTTGTATGCCTTTGTGCAAACCGTTTGACTATGTACATGCAGATTTACCATGCTAATCCCCCGATCGGTACGTCCGCGAGAGAACTCGCTTCTGAGGATTACACCTACACTTACACGTAATCTACACTTTGTTTTTCATCCATGGCTGTAATGTGCGATGGACTTCAAGCCACCGTTTCTTGCACCATAATATTTCGGGCATCTCCTTACTGTGGGAAAAGGAATAATTCGCTACTTTCCACTAAGTGCATGGTTCACTACTGTTTTCCTCCTATTTTCTCGGAGAAAAAGAGAATGGAATTCTCGGGTTTCTACTTGTTCTTGCAAGATTGTCGGTGTAACCAAGAAAAAGAGAATAGAGGAGTATTGTGAGTCGGGTGCTTGAGCCGCGGGGGATTGGAGCAGGCTTACAATAGACCAATCTTACATTCAAACACTCAAAGACCATTGCAGTGCCTAGGGCGGCAGGCTACGTGAATACACGCTGGCTTGTCTAATTAGCCCTGCTTTCAATGTTCAGAGGTACCCCTCTACCAGCGTGTCGCCCCCATTGATGTACCCCTAGCATAGCCCGTTACCAGTGGAATGCAGGCTCCTAGCTGACATAGACAGGACTTGGACCCACGTGTGGTTTACGGGGTCTCAAAGAGCACAGGTGTACGCTACTCTGCTCCTTTTTCATTCTCGCCGAGTCTTTTGTCGGCTTCAAAATGAATGAAGGTGAAAGAAAGAAGAGAAAAAAGAAAGAAATCACTATGGAAGTGCCTCGGGGTGTGAACGTGTGGTAAGAAGTGAGTTAGAGTCTAGAGACGATGACTTGTTAATGTGTTCTGGTAGCTAGAGCGTCAGGGTGACCCTCGTGAACCCCACCACAAGTTCTTCTTTCCTTACCTTCCATTTTAACACGGTAATTGACCGAAATCCGAATCCCAAGTCTCGATTAGAAACCTCGATTGGTATTGTGCGTCGCTGACTAGCCCGCCATTGTTCAGCAGCCTGTTTTGTGCGACGTTCCCGATGTTCGTAAGAAGAGGGAAGGGAAATTCTGACAGGTATCTGGAACAGCGACCCTGTGGTCCATTGAAACGTGCCCACAAAAATGAAGGCCACTCAAACTTGAACTACGCGCTACCATCTGAAACTTATCCTAGAAAGTCGACACGGGGTAATTTAACAAGCCCAGTTTTTGAACGATGCTCTTATTTGTAAAGCACAGAAACGTGGCCTAATTCACGGTCACTCAACTTGTACTCAGGAATCGAGTCCCAACTCCCCTGTTATTCTCCCAAACCCCTTTCCCATTTCCCCTCGCAAACAATTCTCGTTCCATTTCGACTTCGAGGCAGAGAGTGCCATGACAGCGCGAACAAAACATGGTCGAACCTCAAAATAGCAATAGTACAACAATACTCAAGTCGGTCAGAATATCAGTCTTTTGAAGGACGTATACAATGAAAACTACATGCACGGCCAGCTTAGAAGTCAATAATGATAATCCATCATGTTATGTTTTTAGTTATCAATTCCATTATTGAATAATTGAGAGTTTAGAGCAGCAGAAAGTTTCACCTTGATTAATAATTAATTGAGAAAAGGTGATGGTGGTGGTGGGGGTAAACAAGAATAATTAGGGTGGGGTCCATGTACTTGAAGACACTCTTACGCCCCACTCTCAGAATGGGATGGGAATGCACGGGATCGCTCTCTTTTCTTTTCTTTTTCCCTTTACCAAATGAAAGAGTCGTGTTGACGAACAAACACGGTTCTTACTCTCTCTCTCTCCACTCACTTTCACCGGCATTCTCCACAAGTTCCCCTCACAAAAGATCGCTGAAGTTGAAAGAGGTCGAACCTAAACAAACTTCCATTAGAGCGCCATAGTTTTGGTGAAGTTGGTAAATACAAGCAATCGCAACAAACAGCCAAGAAATCAAGATGAAGTTCTACACCATTTGACATATCAGTGCCTTAAATAAAAGAGCTCTATATCTGGAATGACCATGTAAAAGGAATCCGTATACTCATTAAGCGTTTGATCAAAACATCCGTAATGACTAGACGTCATTTTCCATCTTAACTCGTAATTGAGTTCAAATGCTGCTATGTCCCTAGCAACAGACGACTGTGGCGTATCGCCAGGCTTTCTCCGCTCAGAGCATAAGAAATAGAAGTTGTTAATTAGAGATGCAATTAGCAGTGTTTTCTAACCTATTATCATGATGATCATTAGAGGTGTATTGCGATCCGCCTAATAGGAAGTGGCTAAAAGGTCCTCATGCATTGAACCAAGTCTATCTTTAATTGTTCTATACACACTTGAGTTACTGATTTAAATGCATGCTCCATCAAAAATTGCATGTCAGGTAATTTGTCGCTGGAATATTTGCTCTTAAGGTACATCCTTCGGTATTCATTGGAGGATAGTGAGAATAGATATTCATATGAGTTTGGAATTAACCCCTTACAACAGGGTGGCGCGACGGAATCTAATTAGAATTGATGTGAGCAATGATGAAGGAGGGATACTTAACGGTCCATGTTTAATTAAGTCGTGATTGGGTAATTCGATTGTTGTCGGCCGTCAAATGGAATTAGCATGCTTGGGAAAAAGACAATATGATAATAATTGAAATGGACATTAAATATGATTTTGTTATAATCTTCTTGAGGAGTAGAATTGAATTTTCAAATGAAACACTTGAGATGAATACTTACCCAATGCGTGGTTGTACACGAATCCATTTAAGACGCATAGTAAGTTAGACTGCTTTAACCAAAATATTCTTTGAATATGCCTCTCTGATACCTTACAAAACGAATATTTTTTTCAATTCGCATATTACACAACTAAACTTAGAGCACTACCTTGGCTACAAGAAAATGTATTTTCAATCCCATTTTGTCATAACGTAATCAAAACAGTGAAAGCTGTGAGAAAAAAAACTCCGAAACCATTTGATTTTCGTAGTTTTACAGATGGTTGACAAAGACAAATTAGTGTAAGATATTACCCCCTTTTTCTAGTTTTCTCCCCATCAACCGTCTTTTGGTTAACCACGGTTTGTATTCACGGCGGATTACTCATAGCAATTCGTACAACAGCACACGCATATTATACTCTCTCGATGGTTGAATATGCATAGGCAAACCGCAGTGCTATCTAAAGTGTTCTCTCAAACACAAAGTATGCTCTCTTTACACAAGCCTGGCTCTCGATGTGTGCTTGTGTTCAAATCAATAAAGCTATCGTCCTTACGTAACAATTTGATATGGAGTGAGTGAGTGGTGGTTGCCTTTACCCATTTATCATTTTTTTTCTTCAGCTCTTGACTGCACAAACCAAAGAGCAAAACCACGCAATAGTTTGAATACCCAATGAATGAATTACAGAGCAGACATAGTACATCAAAACAAAATTTATACATGCACTGCGTCTATTCAAGCTCGGTTCTTGTCTACTTAGAATTAGTGCAAATTGAGTAACCTTAAAGAGCGTTTCATCCAGTTTGCGCTTTTCTTTCGTTTTCTTCCGTTTTCTTCCTGTAGAATCTATTATAGAATTACGTTTCTATACGATAAGCAACTTGAGGCTCAATACAATATTGTCAAGAAAGAGTGCAAAATTCCACCGATGTCGAGTATTTCTTGACAATGGCCTCATGCAAACAGATCAATATTCATGAAAATAATGTTCGAAGAATGTGTCACTCTTGACAACAATTAAATCAAAATAATATTCCCCAAATTGAATTCTTAAAGGATTTATAGAAATTATACCATTTTGATAAAGTTATGAAGACTCCTTACGAAACTGTAAAATAATATAGATGTAGGGAATAACCAAAAAGGTCATAATGAACATTTCGTTCATGTTATTTATGTTTAAAAAAATGAAATCCCAGGATGTGCTCTCGGCTCCGATTTAGTGACAAGTCATCGGTAATTGTGGATAATGTCTGCTTTGTTGGCTTGGTTCTACTAGTGCAGTGTCATTACCGATCGATTGTTTGGGCCAGCCCGTATGGATTGACGGTAACTGGTCCCACCAACTCGGCAGGAGATCAGACCGAATGCCTGGTTGGACTTTAATGCGTTAGCCTGTATGTGTGCTGAGTAATTATTTACATTGAGTGGGGAGGGTTGAAGGACCTCTCCGTAGAACCAACTCCACAGAGCTGTGTACAGATTAACCCTTGTGAGCGAATAATGCTCAGTAAATGAATAATATTGGAGAGAAAGGATCATGGTGTAAAGATGGATTTGGATGAGAATTATTTATCAAAATACATGACATGTCGTATAGGGCCTATTCCATAATATTTGTCAGAAATAAAATCTGGCAGAAATGATGAAATCACAGTAAAACGCGTCTCATTGACGTTACAGATTTGTGAAGATTTTGTGATTAACAATTGGTTTTCTGTTTCATTTTTGTTATTTTCAGGTCTGGTTCAAGAATAGGAGAGCGAAGTGCAGGCAACAGCAGCAACAGCAACAGAACGGTCCTAATAGCAACAACACCACCAACAAGCCACGCCCTGCTAAGAAGAAGACGCCACCACCCACACCACGTGAGAATGATGCCCCCACCACCACATCAAGCGATACACCACCGTTCAAGGCATCGCCATCCGTCTCATCGAGTATGCCCAATAACAACAGTATTTGGAGCCCGGCCTCGATAGCCCCTCAACCCATGTCAAGCGATCATTTAGCAGCGAACATGAGTAATAACAGTTGTATGCAGCATTCCTACACCATGCCCAACGCACAGCCTGCTGCAGGCTACACAGCGCAGGGCTACCAATCACCGTACTTCGGCGCCGGCCTCGACTACCTCTCTCACATGCCGCAATTCCCCGGCTCCATCAACCACCAGATGGCAGCGAGTGCTATGAACAACGGGCCGATGACCACCATGGCCTCGCAGCTGCCACCTCCCCACCACGCCCACATGCCCATGGGCGCCATGTCGAGTGCAGAGTGTATCGACGGCAAAGAACAGCCGCAATGGAAGTTCCAGTCGTTGTAACCCCCCTACGGCTTATCTCAAGAAGGCGACCCCATCGACTCCATCGAAATCAATGGGACATTTTCTACAGTCACCATGTTTTTGCGAAATGTGAAAAAGGACACTCATGGTAATAATGGCGGCCTGTCCCGGCTGTTTTGCGACGTGCACTCTCGAACATGACAATGAAAGGACCAATGACGTTATTGGTAGGAAGCAGTTTTAAACTTTTAATTTATCACAATTTATTTTGAAAGGAATCATACGATACAGTCTAGAGATAACCAAATAATGGTTTTCATCAGTTTCGTTATGGCGCCAATCTGAGACGCAAGACATTGCCGTTCGGACAATCTGAAATGAAACACCCTTCATTCTTTACTTTGCAAAATTATGAACAATTCATGAGATTTCATGTTGCGTCTTATTCTTTTGCAAAATAATAATCAGGAAAAAGAGGGTAATTAGTTGAACACTTGACAAGTCATCAGCAAATGAATACATACAATTTGCAATTTGGTAAAGAACATTTGCATCAGAATGTATTCTCATTTGACAAATAGCGTCACTAGTATGTCTACGAATCATGTTTCATCTAGTCATTATTATGTTTTTTATAAAGTATCTTCAGAATCATACACTTTAGGGCGAAATGATTACAACAAATCGTTTAAATGAATCCGGTGATAAATGATGTATGACCTTGAACGCAGCTCTCATACCGAGTGCTAATATCAACTCAGTTTGGTTGATATAAAGGACCTTGTTAAAATGAACCACCACCAAACTTCCCACCGAAAATGGACAAAAAAAGAATGACTGATTTATCTATCATGCAATGTAAATCTAGATAAATTTATTTATTACAGTAGAAGTAGACAAAGTGAGAACGATTATCATCGAATGTTGCTCCATTATTTTGGCTATTATGTTGCTCAACCTGAGGCGAATTTTAATCATGTTACCGACATTCCTGCGAGAATCAAAGAAGTCGACTGCAATCAACTCGTATTAGTTAAGAAGAATCAGCTCAAGTTTATTTGTTTCTTTATGTCTTTTAGTCGATTGATTTAAATTTCTGTTGTGAACTTAAAAACGTTCGAATTTAGTCGAAGCTAGCATCCCGCATTTCTATTCTTCAACAATATTATTTTCGAAGACTATCTCAAGAGCGTTCCGTTCAGCACATGAAAGTGTCGAACTAAGCTAACAACATATTTAGCACAGATTCTTTTTCTTTTCATTTGGATTTACACTCCCGAGTCGGGTGGATATACAGGGTCATTGTTAATGTATGAAACGTTTATGTTGTATAGAAAACAATCTTTTTAAATTACAAAGTCATCAAGTAATGTGTTTAAAAGTTACCATCAACGGAACTGTCGATTTTAAATTGAAAATATATATGTACTGTACTTCCAATTTCCCATTGTGCGGATTTTAACTGTGGTAATAGCCCTAATACATTTTTGATTTTTTTTTTTCAAGTGGGGCTTAACTTATTTAATATCAATGTGAAAAGCAATCTCTCTAACACATCCAGTATTTAGAATTCTAATATTTTGTAGATTATGTTTCTTCTGATATTTATGTTCTATTCTTTTCTCTTCGTTTTGACCACAAACCGCATGATGTGTTTGCAAATGTCACGTCATTTTGTTTCCGAAACTTTAGTTATTTCTTCTTCGTATCATTCTCGTTCTTCTGCCTCACATTTGAGTGTAAATAAATAATATCTAGACGGGGCAACTTCATTATTTTTTTCTTGATTCTGTTCATTCCATGTTTAAAGTAGTGTGACACAAATCATGTAGTATGTAGGTTTATAGATATCTGAATATCTTCGTTATTTTTCCCCAGTTGTTTCTAGCCTGACGCGATGTTAGGTACATTATGCACAGTTGAATGAAAATTATTAAAAATTGCACGAAATATACTAAACGTATTCATGTGTTGTATTTCTTCGTTGTATTTTGTTTCATTATTACAATTAATTCAAAACAATCAATACATACAAAAATGAGTACAAAGAAACTTTGATGTAACAACAGAATGCATAGTTGACCTACATCATTGTGTGTACGAGTTAAACGATTGAAAGCGGGAACGAGAGGTAAAGAGGGAGACAAACAGAAATTAAAATAAATAATAGGATGACGGAGAAAGAGAGAGAGAGAGAGTGTAGAAAAGGAAGATATTATATGGAAAATGTGACAACTGTAAAAGTCGACTTTCTTTGTTGAATGCAATGTAACGTGTCCCTGAAAGAAAGAGATCGATAGGGTGAATAATCATGCAAACACGGTATAAGGGAGATTCCATATAAATAACTAAACAAATAACCCGATGTGACATTTTATATTGTTAGTGAACCAGAAACAACCATTAGTCACTGATAATATAAAAACATTTCCATATTAGGATGAAATACATGGATAAATGTCCTATGTCGTACTCGAAAAGTTGCATGGAATCACCTAATAAAAGTCATTTTAACGAAGGCCATCGTCATCACTCCATAGAAAGTCAAAAATATATCTCCCAAGTAAATGTAGATAAACATGTAACAATCAACTCAGTAGTTTTCATGGCCCTGGCATTGTTTCAGGACGACATTTCAGAACTGTTAATGGAAATGCGAAAGAGGGAAGATAAATGAGAGAGAGAGAGAGGGAGAGAATAAATGAGAGAGAGAGAGAGAGAGAGAGAGAGAGAGAGAGAGAGAGAGAATGGGAGAAGGTAACGGCAAGATGAAGAAGAGAGAATAAGGAGGGGAGAGAATTAGACAGCGAGAGGGTAGAGGGGTGCGAAAGAGAGACAAGGAAAAGAGGTGCTTGCCTATATTTCAGGAAATAATGGAGAGTGATAAGATAAATACTATTAACGAAACACTCTGATATAATAAAGGAAAGATCGCATGGTAAACAAAGGCACTCATTTACAGTTTCATCGTTATTCGTCATTATCATGGATGAGTAAAAACTCACAACGTATCTCGTCTAGGTTATCAAATTACAATGGTTAATTTTGAAAGATTTCTCGGCAAGATGTGAAAATTAATACGTAAGATAGGACACAATATGTATTAATCTGCTCGTGACTATTCTTGTTTCTAAGAAGAGAAGAAGGAAGTAGAAGGGAAAAGGAAGGAAGGAATCGAAGAAAACAAGGAAAGGGGAAGAGAGAAAGACTAAAGCAAAAGGGAAGATGTCTGGCCTACATTATTATTTTGTTTATCAGACAAGCGAAAAATGTACATGTAAAGGGATTGCAGACTTGGAATAACAGAACTAGTTATCTGAAATGCACAATTTGAATTATAATTTTCATTTATGTACATGGCAATGAACCGAGTAAGATCACAGAGTGAATTCAAAAGTTATGATCATTACTTTGTTCATAGTAGGCCTGATAGATATGAAGTACTGTCGCCTCCAACTGCCTAGCTAAACTTGGTTGATAGATGGCGCAATTTCTAAAGCGGAGACTTGCTTTCGTGCATCCAACCTGAGCTGAAAATGTGAAGATGTGCCTTCTGTAAAATAAATAAAAATGTAAGGAAGGAATAGTAAGAAAGCTATTAAATCACTCAAGTTAGACCCCCATTTCAGTGGATGAAGACATTAATTTACATTTTTTATTAATCCTTCAAACACCTTTCTTCGACAGAGCGTGTATTGATTTGATTTATTGATTTGATTTATTTATTTCTGTTTAATTTTCTTTTACTTTTGCAGTTTTACAAATTGTCTTTACAGATCTTATTTAAAGAATTTTAAACATGATAAAATAGGCCATACAAATTCTTCCTACTAAGAATCAGCATCCTTCTTTAAAACATCTGTAGTTTGATCAGCTGTATGCGACGTTTGCGTATGAATGACGCTTGTGACGGTTTTTCGTTATCTTCTGTCCTTGTATTCCTGATAGAGGGAGCCAAACAGAGAAACTATAGAGATCCTAAAACATACACGAAGATCATTCCGGAGTAGAAAGGAGAATTCAAAGTAAATAAAAGAAACGGTATATTAAATGCTATCTGTTTGGTTTATAGTGGTGGTTAACTTTAGGCAATTTCAACATAGTACATCAGTCTGTTAAAAAATAATTTTACGTACATGTTGAAAAAGGTAAAAAAACAACATTTCATTCATCATTTTAATAATCATTATTATTAAATAATTTAATTTTTACCTTCAACGAAATAATTTCGTTTTTCTTGCTGTGTTTATTTTATTTCCATTTTGTATGTTGGGGTTAAATATTTTATATTCAATGAAGAAAATATAAAATGCACGACACGGCTTGATTCAAGACATTCTCACTTTGAGTTCTCAGTTTTAGAGAGAGAGAGAGAGAGAGAGAGAGAGAGGAAAGAAAGAGAATTAGAAAGATACAATGAGAGGGGGAGAAAGAGGGGAAGAGGGAGAAAGAAAGAGGAGAGTGAAAAAAGAGAGAAAGAGAGAGAGAGAGAGAGGGAGAGAGAGAAGAGGGGGAGGAGGACGCAACAAAACAAAGGAGGATTCAACTCCTTCACGTAAATTACTTACAAAAATTAAACAGAAGTTACAGGAGGAAGGGCACAACCTAAGAAAGAAATGATCCTGATAAATAAATAAGTAAGATCGAACAATACATAAACATATTCAAATATATACCACATGATGAATAGTTTTTCAAGGTGATTCATGTAATGCGTGATGGTGAAGAAAGGGATGTTCATGTTCATGTGCATTCATTCAGTAGTCTGTGTCATTAGGCTTCCAATTTAAAAACGTTAAATTCATCACTTGCTCGTTCGTGAAACGTAAAGATGTCATTTTCAGATAATGATAATAGGAAATTGCAATGTGTGTCGTTGCTATTTGAAGAATAGCGCCAGCTACGTTTTTATCGCACTCATTGAAATTTGACAAGCACAGCAACCGTGATGGCAATGGGCGGACTATAGTGTATAATAATTCAGATTACCAAAATTATATTTGTGTTAATTAGAAGTTACCAAATCACGATGGACTAGTACATTTTTAATAAATACGATGAATATAGCTCTCTTTATTTCAATGAGAGTTTATCAAATCATGATTTTACATTTTAATTTTGAGATTGGTTATGTGACGGGGATTCCTTTTTTAAAATGCTAACCAGAACTATCAATTTTCTCAATTTAGTGTTTGAACAATCTTCTTCTTTTCAATGGAGGCATGATGACAAGTTACCCCAAGTTACCCATAATGTAACACACTTTGAGAAAAATATTAAGACACCCAGAAACAATTGGAAATTTGTGATATTTCATGTCGCTGTTGATTTGAGAATGGTTTGACCCGCTCTTATAGTATGTTAATCGACAGTTCGCTACCTTACGTAGTGTTGCTATAACTCCCCATTGTATGCAACTTGATTCATTGCCAGACTGTAGTACGTTCAACAGGTGGCAGTGAAATGCATGCATTAAACATGTTTAATGACAATACAAAGGAATTAAAATGAATTAATGAATACAATTGAACCAGTGAAATTCTATTTCCACAGCGTACTGTTAACTTCACGTGTATTTTGAGAAGATTGTCGACTGGTGTCGGACTGGTGTAGAGAACATTAATCTTGCGTTGTCTTGTTTGCTTTGCTTTGAGTCAACATGTTGCTGAATTAAACTGTATTTCATTCGGATAAAATTATACGATTACGCCCTGGATTTCCATCACTCCCCCTAAATTGTTCTCAGTGATGTCAATGAGGATGGATGCTTCAATGAACGAGGATAGGAACCAATCTTGTCATAATTATTATCGTGCCGCTTACAAACGTCAACATTAATGTACTTGTCCTGATTTGGATATCTCGTCGTGACAAGTTAAATTCACAGTTACTGATGTTCATGAGGATTTATACACAAACAAGTTCAGGATTCCGTCGTCGTACAGGAATTCGTCGTCGCTGTCGTCCACTCCTCATACTGATTTAGCACTGACACGCGTGATTACAGATGCCTGAAGATGCCTCGTCTCGATTAAAAAGGTAAGCGTAAAGGTAACCGGCTCGTATACTAACTTCTTCTAATCCACAATGCATCAATGGAAATACTAGTTTGTTTTTACATAAAAAATTATGTCATCAAAGGTAACAAAGAGGGAGGGATGGCTTTTAATTGTTTATCTTTAATTTTGTGTAAATTTTTTAAAATTTGTTTTGGAGAATCTGTTTCGAAAGTGATGTGAGTGTACGCAAAAAAAATATAGTCTATGGTGGTCACTATAATGATATGAATGTAAAGATATCGAAATATAACATTCAGGAAAAAAATGTTAGATTGCTCGTAGAAGAAGTAGTTAGAGTCAAAGCGCTGGTGCTATTTAAACATTAATTTTGTAGTATAGTAGCATAAGTTTTCTTGGTAAACGTAATAGTTCTATAGAGCGGTATTATCCGTTATACATCCGTGATGACAAATACCAAAACAAAATCAATCAAAACACATTAATAAAAGCAAAGCATCTCATATAAGTATGGCACGCTGCCAAAGATGTTTTAAAATAATAATGTTTACAGTATTCATCTGTAACCGACGTTGCGCTTGCATTTTATACATATTTTGTATTACACTGTATGATGAATATTTAGTGAAAAAACGCCAGCTACGTTGGCTTAGACCAGGCCTTCTCAACTAGTTTATCAGAAGCGCCAAAACAAAAATTTATTGAGGTTGAAGTGCCAACCTGTATGTTTGTCGACTGTGTTGCGAGGGAGCGTAGAGACCGAGCCGATACCGGGTGGGGTCCAGGGGGCTAAGCTCCCGGAAGCTAGCGGATTTTAGGGCTTTTTTAAGGCCCAGATGTGGCATTTTTAACACCTTTTTGTTCCATAAAACATCAATCATATTTTCATATTGATGTGAAATAATTAATACAATTCCTGGCTAAAATCTACACTGGA